CGGTGAACTGCTGAAGAAGACGACGAAGTTTGTTGCGTCACTCTCGCAACACCGGTACTTTCTCTCTATACTGAATTGTCACTGTTGAATTCATCTTGTTTGATCTTGTTCTGTTTTTCTCCCATGGAAGAGTTACATGAGCCTTTTAGGCGACTCTTGAAATTTTCAATTTTCAAAATTGGGAAAATTCTGTATTTTTTTTTGGGATAATTTGGGACCATTTTGATCTAATCTCATATTGCCAAGTCCCTTTGTCTGATTTCGTAGCGTAATTGTATCAATTCCTTTGTACAAGTTCTAGAGCTGTTTAATTTCTGATCATTGTTGTTCGACACTGGTTTTGGCTTTAGTGATGTTCTTACACGTTTGACTTCTCTTTCTCAATCAATGGCAGAAAACCATGGAAGGTGCTGCAGTGGCGGAAGGGCTATGGGGATTAGCGGATCACCACGAGAAGCTTGGTGAGATTGGGAAAACCATAAAATGCTTAGAAGCAATCTGCCAGAGCCAAATCTCTTTCTTTCCTCTTGTTGAAGTCAAGACTCGTCTCCGTGTCTCTGCTCTTCTACTCCGTTACTCTCACAATGTCAACCATGCCAAGTCCCATCTCGAGCGCTCTCTTCTTCTCCTCAACTCTATACCTTCCTCCTTCGATCTCAAATTCAGGGCTTATAGCTTGCTCAGCCACTGTTATCACCTCCTCGCTTCGTTGCCTCTTCAGCGCAACCTTCTCTTCAAGGCCCTCGAGCTCGCGTCTTCTGTCTCTCAGGATGTCTCTGCTTACCTCTGGTCTTGCAATTTCAACTCTCAGCTCGCTAACACGTTCATTATCCAAGCTGATTTCCCTTCTTCTCTCGCTGCTCTCGAGTCTGGTTTCCTCGCTGCTTCACACATTTGTTTTCCTGAGCTCCAGGTAGATTTTCTCTTCTTCTTTTTCTGTATTTGTGCTTGAGGTGATCGTTGTTTTTAACTTTTGTGGTTTGTGCTGCAATTAGATGTTCTTCACAGCTTCTATGCTTCACGTTCATATCATGCAATGGACAGATGATTATTCAGTGGAGAAGGCTGTTCAGCGATGCGATGAGATCTGGGAGACTATTTCTTCAGACAAGGTATGTTACAGTACAACCAACATTTAATCTTTTGCTCATTTAGCTTCTGGTTGCTTGGTTTGTCCCAAGTCAGCTAATTCCTCTATCATTTGTAGACTGAACGCTGCCCTGGCTTGTTCTTCTACAATGAGATGTTGCATGTTTTCTATCGCCTCAGGCTCTGTGATCATAAAAACGCTCAGCATCATGTCGACCGCTTAGACCAAGCCATGAATGCTCATTCGCATAGGATGCAGGAGGCGCAGCAGCTTCAGGATGAGCTCAGTTCGTTAAATCATAGCCTCTCCCGTTACGATCTTCCTTCCAGAGAAAGATCAGCCCTCTCCACCAGAAAATCTCAGCTCCAAGATCGTTTAAACGCATTATCCCCATCTTCTACCACTGGTAACTCTCTGGAGCCTGCGTTCTTTGGCAATGCAGATCGTTCATGGACAGAAAAGCTACTGCTTTCACCATCTCCAATTGATGGAGAGTGGCTGCCAAAAAGTGCCATCTATGCGTTGGTCCATCTTATGGTCATCATATCGGGACGTCCAAAGGGAAACTTTAAAGAGTGTTTAGAACGTTTCGAGTGTGGAATGCAGATCATTCAAGGTTATTCTATTGTCCTTATCACTTGAAGTTCCCGTTATCTCTTCGTTTACTTCCTACTATTGCATTTATCTGCAGCACTAGAAATCAACCCGAAAACCCATTCTCCTCGGAATTGGGTCAGTGTTCCATTATTATAGTACATGTGGCAGTGATCCATTCTCTTAGTACATGTGGCTTCTAGGAATTAGCATTCTGCTTCTTAAAACACAACTAAGAAGCTTAGGAGATTCCATCTCATGGCATGACATGTTGTGTGTTTGCTATGTTTTATGCAGATGAACTGATCAAGCTTGGAATTACTGACGAAGTTAGAGGTTTAGTCGACAGCTCTATTTATACTACACTTAGTTGAAGCAACAATTCTTAATGTTGAAGCTCACATTCTCTTTCTTTCTTATTTTTTTTCTCTCTCTTTCGTGGCAGAATCTGATTTTCGGCACACGGATATCTGGATGTCTGGGGTTTATCTTACGCTACAGATGCAGTTCCTTGAAAACAAAGTGGCTTTGGAACTTACAAGGTCTGAATATGTTGAAGCACAAGAGGTAAATCATCGATTCTATTTTTCCTATACTATCTGTTTTTGCCTCCCTTCACCACATCACCGTGATATAGAGCCTGCTTTTTTCTTTTCTTTTTTTTGAGTTAACCAGCTCTGTATGTATAATCAATCTAGTTCCCCTGACATCAGGTCGTATTAGCTATCTTCTCTAGCATAATGCTCTCTTGAAGGAAATTTTTTAACACTTCCAGTAAATATCCGATTATGCAGGCTCTGGTTGAGATGAAAAATTTGCTTACTCGATTTCCAACGATTCTGCAAGCTTCTGAGTGTGTGATTGAGATGCTCAGGGGGCAATATTCTCATTCTGTTGGTTGCTACAATGAAGCTGCTTTCCACTGCATCGAAGCGACCACGGTAAACTTTATAACCTCATGTAAAATGGAAGACATTTGCTTGTTGGATGAGGTGTCTATGTGCTATATTGATCTAAATATTTGCCTTTTTGCTTCCCATGGTGATCTCTCATATGCAATGTAATTTTCAGCTGACAGAGAGTAAATCGATGCAAGCTACGTGCCAAGCTTTTGCAGCTGTTTCTTACCTTGCTATCGGAGATGCTGAATCATCAGCTAAGGTGTGACAAAATTTCCTGCAGTTAACTGGATGTTCATACTTGCTTTGCTGTATAGTCGTGAGCTTAAAGAAGGCTGATTTTCATTTGTCTTTAGGCACTTGATTTAATTGGACCACTCTATGGAATGACGAATTCACTATCTGGTGTTCGAGAGGAAGCTAGTATTCTCTTTGCTTACGGTCTCCTTTTGATGAAGCAGCAAGATCTACAGGAAGCAAGGTATACACTTACTTGTCTAATGTATGTGAAGATATGGTTCATGGTCTAATGTAACTGTATGATACCAATGTAGAAACCGTCTTGCAAAGGGTTTGCAGATCGCACATACTCATTTGGGTAACCTGCAGCTAGTTTCACAGTATTTGACACTCCTGGGAAATCTGGCTCTTTGCTTACACGACACCGTACAAGCCAGGGAGATACTGCGTTCCTCTCTTACACTTGCAAAGAAACTCTCTGATATACCAACTCAGCTATGGGTTCTCTCCATCTTCACATGTTAGTATCAGAGTTTTGTCGAAAACAGAGTTGAGTTTCAAGAAAACTTCGTGTCCTAAGCGAAATTTTATTGGTGAAAATGCAGCTATGTATCAGCAGTTGGGTGAGAAAGGGAGCGAGATGGAGAACGAAGAACACAGGAAGAAGAAGTGGGACGAGTTGCAGAGTAGACTTGATGAAACACGTGGATCAATTCATCACATTGAACTAGTGAGAAGACCAAAAATGATCTCTTTTTGTTCTGGTATTGCAATAAGTATAAAGATCTTTCAGGCTTCACACACTCTCTGCTTGTTTACAGGTCGCGAAAGCGAGGCTAGAAATGCATCAAGTGGAGGATGCACAAGAACAGTCTGTAGCAGTATCTTACGGGCAATCAATGCAAGTGAATCTGGACATTCCAGAGTCTGTTGGTGTAGGTGGTCCATCACTGGCTCAGTCTTCGTCGAGGCTTGTAGGTTTAGACACAGGGAAAAGATGGGGAAAACGAAGGCTATCATAACTTACAGAGAAAGACGATACAATCTTTGTATCGAGTGTAGTTTGTGTAGATGTGTTGTGTTGATTAAAAAGGAAACTTTTATTTTATTTTAATTGAAACAAACCTTCTAAGTTAGTTCGTGTTTTTTATATTGTAATATGTTTTAGTTTAGGGTACGAGTCTGAGACCTGAATTCAAGGTATCTGTATCCGACATGTAGCTGAAATTCTGAATGGAAAATCCAAAATGATATATTTGTAATAATTTTTTTGTTGGTCATCTGATTTTTATTTAAGAAGATAAATTAAAATCCCCGGAATCATAAGACCAAAAGAGAGAAACTTTAAGTCCAAAATAGAGACTAAATGTTACAAAACCATCAGAATTTTCGGAAAAAGTATGACACAAAAATAGAAAACTTTTTCCAAAATAAGGAAACTTATTTGTATTAACTAAGGGTTCTGTTTCCATACAATTATGATATTCAACAGCCACTACCAACTATAAAGTATGTGTACGAGATTATTATGGTATCTTAAAAAATATTATTAAAGTGGAACATCTCAGTTTGGTAAAAATATCTTCAAATATGATTGATTTGATTTAACTATTGGATTATTAACAACTTTGGGGCCGCACGACGGTACAATAAGTTTGAGTATTTTATCCTAGTATCACAAGTAGAACAAGTGACATTTGTTCCATATCCACAAATTCAAAATACTAGAATCTCAGGGTTACCAATAATTTAAGTAACTCCAAAAACTATAAATGATGGTGTAAATCTGATTTTCGGTTTTAAATCGGATTTGAAAAATTGCAATCCGAACCAATCCAAACAAGACTGTCAAGACATGAATCAATCCAAACTGACCCAAAATTTCTAAAATACCGAATAGGTATTGATTTCAATATCCGAATAATCGAATACTCGAATAACCCGACCCGAATCCAATCGGATCCCGAATTCCCAGGGCTAGAATCCAACGGTCCACTTTTTTTCCTTTTTTCCTTTTTAATGTCAATGACTTGAACCTTAACTCTATAAAAGTCTATAATTTCTTTTTTTTTTCTCTCCTACCATATTTTTGTTTTGTTTTCCACTTTCCTCTGCCGCTGCAAATTTTCTCAAGTGATTCAATTTCTTTCTCGTAACTCACTTTCGAAACCCTAAAGATGCAATATTCAGACGAAGAATTCGTCAAGTTCTTAGGAGAAGGTTCTTACGGTTATGTCTATCTCGTCAGATACACGAAACACGACGGCTCTTCGTTTCTCGCCGCCGTAAAAAACTCTTACGACCAAGACTTCGACAATCTTCAAAGAGAGTTTCAGATTCTGCGGGAACTCAGAGGATCTCCGAGAATCATCGAATGCTTTGGAGACAAATTGGAACAAGGTATCAGCTCTTACGGAAACAGAGTCCACAAATTACTTCTCGAGTACGCATCCGAAGGTAGTTTAAGTGCTTTCATGGACAACTACACCAACAGAAAACTGCCTGAGCCGATGATCAAAGACTTTACGCGTATGATTCTCCAAGGTTTGGTATCGATTCACGACCACGGTTATGTTCATTGCGATCTCAAATCCGACAATCTCCTTGTGTTCCCGTGTAAAGATTCTTCTTCTTCATACGAACTGAAGATTTCTGATTTCGGAAACTCGTTGCAAGTCGGAGAGAAACCTCATTATTGGGGAATCGATTTCCCGTTTGTTGGAACGCCGATTTACATGTCGCCGGAGTCTCTCCGTGACGGCGGCGCAAAGAAAACCCTAGATCTTTGGTCGTTGGGATGCTTGGTGTTGGAGATGTACACAGGTGTGATTCCATGGCAAGGAGTTGAAATCGATGATCTCGCGACTCGTCTCCGTAATGGTGAAGTTCCAGAGATTCCAGAGAGCTTGCCTTGTGATGCAAGGAAGTTTATTGAAACGTGTTTCTCAAAGAAGCCTGAGAAGAGAGGAAGTGCGTATGAGCTGTTGTTTCATCGGTTTTTGCGTCGAGAAGAAGAGGAGAAAACGGAGGAAAAGATTAGATCTTCAAAGAAATCGTTTCTATTGAGGTTGAGAATCAGGAGAGCATCAAAGAAGTCAATGGATATCTCAGAGAAGAAGCCTCTGAAACTGAAGAATTTTCCAGAGGTTAAAAAGATTTTGAGTAAAGTCTTGAGGTTGAAGCAGAGCAGGTTCTGGGTAGAAGCGGTTTAATGGTTTTAAGGGCATTTTTATATAAAGATTAATTGGTTCAATTTTGAGTAAAGTCTTTTGAAGCAGAGCAGGTTCAATCTGGGTAGAAGCGGTAGAATTTAATGAATTTAGGAGCAACTTTGTATAAAGATTAATTGGTTAAAATGGTGTATGAAAAATGTGTTTAGTTGCTATCGTATTTTTCATTTTTTTTAACGTCAATATTATCTGCTTTATTACTGAGTTCCAAAGAAATGATAGTGATCCTTATGGAGGATTTGTACAATACTGTTTGGTACATAGTAATGAAAAACAAAAGGGAAAGTTGAAGAAATAGCTTCCTTTGTGAGTTCAGTTGATCTGCAGCTTTATTATCATTCCTTGCGATCAATCGAAAATGGGTTGAATCACATTTGTTTTCCCCTAGGAGAATGTCACTAATCCAGTTATGAACTCTGAAATTCTTCTCAAGTCCATTGACTAGTTTAACGACCATTTGATTTTCTCCTTCAAAAATAATTTTTCAATAGTCTCTTGATCACATTAGATGCATCGCCATTAGTAGAGCCAGTAATTCAGCTCCAAGTTTGGTGAGGCTTCAAAAGTAGCATTTGGGGTCTGTTAAGACCTGATTAGCACCTTGATATCCTCTCCAAATAGCTTGAGAATATTTCACATTTGAAGAAAAGGTGATCAACGGTTTCACCATAGGTGCAACATCTTCGCCATTTTAGATCAGAAATTATGCCTCGATGGGTAAGAACAAACCCTACTGCCATCGCATTTGATAATAGTCGCCAAAGAAAATGTTTAAGCTTAGGAGCTGTTTGTAATTTCCAGATTGGTTCTTTGAATTCAACCAAACCTGGTGGAGGCAATAGTTTTCAAACAGACACCAACTAAAGGTTGTGACTTTTGAAACTAAAAATAAAACTACCAATTTTTTAAGTCAGAACTTTTTACACACTCTTTGATTTAACATACATACTAATTATTACTGAACTCACTCACTTATCGACTAACAGCTTCAACTGTTTCATTAGAATTTTTGAAAAGATTTTATAACTTACATTGCATAAAGCAATGGGTCTAAAATCACTCATTATTCTAGGAAGTTTAACTTTGGAAATGAGACACAGATTTGTATGATTAATATTTCGGTCACATTTTATTTTTATTCAAACATTATATTAAAGAACTAGTGTTTCTTAAATGAACAAAAATAGAAGAAACGAGACAAAAACTAATTTTATTTAAATTTAGTATCAAATTTATCTATATTATTATTTGTGAAGTCATAAATTTTATGTGTGTTATAACACATATCATATATGGACTCTTATACCGGCCCATTAAGTCCATCAGGGCATTGTACTTAACCTAGATTCCCTATGTACTCTATATATACATTCCAGTGATTAATAAAGTTTCTAAGTTTTCACAACACGTTATCAGCACGATAAGACTCTCTGAGCGAAAAACCCTAATAAATCCGGCCACCACCAAAACCCTAAAAGCAAGTCGAAACTTAAAAGACGCATATCTTCCAAACCGTGAGGAACCAGAAGACGATCTACATATCAAATCGAAGCCCTCGACGAGACGAATCTACTGGTGAAAACCGTTTGTCGATCCAACGTCGGACGCACCCTCACGCACACTTACAGTACACGACGATCAACCGAGAAAAAAAAAAAAAAAAAAACCAGATCCGAGTTTTTCCTTCTTCAACCAGCAGCTTCTCCAGTTTTGGTGATCAATCCTTGGAATTTGTAGCGGCTAACTGAGGTCTATTAGCTCCCAGTTTCATTAGCCTGTCAGAAATCCAAAGGTGGAAAATGTATCTTCTAAAACTGAGAGCCATAGAACCTGTTGTTTAAACACTTCAAAACCCTATATAAAAAAAAAAAAAAAAAAAATCGATCTCTAATTGATTGAAAGTGTTTGATACTCTGATGATTGATTGATAACTTGTTGATTGATTGTTTAAATTACAAGTTTATGCATGTTCAAAGGTTTTAAACTCGTTTTATAAAACCCTAATCTACAAAAACCTAACAACCGTTTTTGGCCATGTTTATGGCATAAACCTATTCGATTTTCTTCATGTTTAATAAGCTTGTTGCAGCTTATTTGATTGTTGATTCTCTTGCTTGAAACACTTGATTGAATAAACTAAGAAAATCAACCCTAAATCCTAAGCTTGATTCACGATTTTGTAATCTTCAAAATCGTAAGTCATAATGCTTAAACCCTAGTCCTTTTCACGTGATTTCTTTGTTGTCCTTGTGAAATTATTAAAACCATCGACCACAGATTCTATAGATCTCGAAATCACATCCAAAATATGTTTTCTAAACCGTTAAAACCCTAGATAAAACCTTAATCATATTCGGCTCCCCTAGGGTTCCTCCTAAACCGCCTAAAACCGGCTAAACCTGGTTCTCATTAACCGAAATTATATTCGGCTTTAACCGATTAAATCACAGCTATTAAACCGACATCATGTTCGGGGTAACTAAAACCATACCCTTTAAAATTTACTATTTCCGAGAAAGTTCCCTCTAATAGAAAGTTTCCTCATATAAAAACTTTCCTCATATAGAAATTTTCCCGACATAGAAACTTTCCTCATTTAGAAAATTACCCAAATTAGAAACTTTCCAAATTTAGAAACTTTCCTAAAATAGAAATATTCTCAAAATAGAAAGTTTCATCATCAGCATTCAAAATTTTCTCAAAACAATCCCTAACAAAATCAATCTCATGTTTCAGATGTCAAACATTCAAAAATGTGAATTCGAGGCCCTTCACGTCTCCGGGGATAACTACCTCGAGTGGGCCCTAGACATGCGCTTGTTCCTTGCATCGAAAGAACTCGATGCGTGTATTACCGACGGTAACACCGCATCCCGTAAGGGACAGTCTCAGGCGATATGTCACATACGCCATCATCTGGCCCCGAGCCTTAAGCAGCAATATCTCACTCTTGAGAATCCACTTGAATTGTGGCAAGCGCTGAAAAAGCGATATGACCATCAGAAAATGGTCCAGTTGCCTCAGGCAGATTTCGACTGGAAGAACCTTCGGTTCCAGGACTACAAATCCGTAGATGATTACAACAACGAACTCTTTCGTATTGTTGCCATCCGGAAACTCTGTGGCGAGGATGTGACAGATAATGATCTCCTCGAGAAAACATTATCCACATTCAGCACAGAGAATGTTGTGCTCCAACAACAATACCGTGCAATGAAACACACATTGTACGAAGACTTGTTGTCCTGTCTTCTCCTCGCTGAGAAGAATAACCAGCTGCTTATGAGGAACAGCGCTATGAGGCCCCCGGGATCGGCTCCTGTCCCAGCTTCTCGTCAAGAGTCCTACCATGTTCAACCCGATAGATCCTCAGATCACCGCCGTGGACGTGGTAATGGACGTGGTAATGGCCGAGGACATGGACGTGGAAGACGTGGACGCGGACATGGTCGTGGCAACCTACCTAACCTCAGTTATGGTCCTGGTCGTGGTCGAGGCATCACCAAGCCGACCCGCCACACCAACCCCGATCACTCTGCTTGTACCAGATGTGGGATGTTCAACCACCCAACAAAGCAATGTCGTACCCCCAAGATCCACTGCGATCTATACCAGAAGTACGGAAAAGCTCCTGCTGAAGCCAACATGACTCAGCCAGTCGATGCTGCTAACCTGGAAGGTGACGACCTCCTTGATGATGAGAACACCACAAACGAGCAGACCGACCCCATGGACTATGAAACAGCTGATCTCCTCGATTAATTCAATCATCTGAAACTCTGATACAATTTGACTTTGTTCTTTATTTTTTTCATTTTGGGATTTGTTTCATTTTTTTTCCATTTGCCTTTATTCTCAGACACTGCTTTACTTTATGATTTATCACATTTTCTGAATTCCTCAATACTGAATTCTATCTTCTATTCATAATGAAGCACACCAGCAAATGGAAACCATAGTCGTAGATAGTGGATCCAGCCACACTATCTTAAGAAACAAAAGTTACTTCATAAACCTAACCTATCAAACCGCAAATATTAGCACCATCGCGGGTCCCTCAAACCTTATCGAAGGATATGGCCATGCCTATGTGTTGCTATCAAATGGCACACAACTTGAAATACCAGATGCTCTATATTCTCCTAGTTCGAAGAGAAATCTTCTGAGCTTCAAGGATATAAGACAGAATGGTTTCCACATAGAAATCCAAGGTCAAGGGAACAAAGAATCCCTCCTAGTCACTAAAACCGTAGACGGCCATAAACAAATCCTCGAAACCATACCCGCGCTCTCTACTGGACTTTACCATGCTAAAGTCAGTATGATTGAAGCTAATACCACTCTCAAAGCCCGGTTTACTGATTATACTATTTGGCACGATCGGCTCGGTCATCCCGGTGCAAATATGATGCGTAAACTAATTCAAAACTCTCAAGGGCATACCCTCAAAGAAAACCGAGCTTATCCTCAACACCTCATGTGCACAGCTTGTTCTCAAGGCAAATTGATCACTCGGCCTTCACCAGTTAAAATCTCTAAACAAACACTTCATTTCTTAGAAAGAATCCAGGGCGATATCTGTGGACCTATACATCCATCTTCCGGACCATTCCGGTACTTCATGGTCCTTATAGACGCATCGACCCGTTGGTCATATGTTTGTCTCTTGTCCTCTCGGAACCAAGCCTTCGCTAGGTTCTTGGCCCAAATCATAAAATTGCGGGCCCATTTCCCTGACTTCCCACTAAAGACTATCCGCCTTGACAATGCTGGTGAATTTACCTCACAAGCGTTTAATGACTACTGTATGGCCATGGGGGTAACCGTGGAACATCCTGTAGCACATGTCCATACTCAAAATGGATTGGCTGAATCATTCATTAAACGCATTCAATGGATAGCCCGACCATTACTCATGAGATCAAAGCTCCCGGCCTCAGCATGGGGACATGCAGTATTACATGCTGCTGAACTCATACGCA